TATATATATATATATATATATATATATATATATATATATATATATATATATATATATATATATATATATATATATATATATATATATAGTTTTTTAGAACATTAGAATTCAAGTATAGAATAAAAATCATTCATAATACTATTAGGTAAAATTCAATGAAGGAAATAGACATTTGTCCAAAATGAATTCCTCTTGATTTCAGTAAGCATTGTGATTAAAAATGATATGCTAATTGATGAGTAGCACTTAAAACTATTCTTGATCTCTATTGCCTAGCATTTTAAACAGTAGACTTAAATATACAGTGTCATCATTACGTGCATTACATGTGTTAATATATTGTTTGAGTAGCGACAATAAAAAGTAATGTTAAACCCAACGAAGGTGTTTCTGGTTATGATTATAGTTTTAAAAACATTCATATTCGTTCAAACCATATGCTCATTTTACCGTTGATTTATACAGAGTTTACAGTACTATTGTAAGCATTTGTTTAAAACTGAAAAAAACGTATGCGCGCAGATGCCATCGATATAATAGAGTCAGCATGGCTTTATCTACATCTTTGTTGCATCCTGTGTTTAATTTTGAATATGCTTCTGTCTCTCAAAACGACAATGCTTTGAAAATCATTCTGCCAAACAACTTGATACTTTTATAAAATTATGAAACAGATTACTACAGTAATTTAGGAAGATGTCGATTCATAAATTTAATAAACTAGGATGGAGCAGATGTTGCTTACAAATGATCAAATTTCCACCTTGGACCATATTCCAATTACACTATAAGAGACGGATTTATTTTTGGTCGCATATAGGTCTCTATCTAGTGAAACAGTGGTTTTATGGTTTAACTTAACATTTGGCACCATAACACGACTAGTACTATCAACGAATTTATAGGGTCAATGTCTCATAGCATATCCATTCACTGAGGCGTTTGGCAGGATCAGCAGAAGCAGATCATTCTATCTTACTATTGGCCTCGGCAATGTTTTTTTACAGAGACATATAATGAAGACATATAATAAAAAGACATATATGAACATATAAAGTCGGAATATTATAAGAAATGATTGAAAACGTGACAGTACTGGCCTTTTAATACGACTGTCACTAATAACCCATCGCTATTCAGCTAAAGCTCCTTTCAATCCACACTATGCGTTTTTTTTTCTTTTTAACTGTGCATTGAATTGCGTTTATCCCCACTTTTTGACAACAAGAGCCACTTGTTCTACATGCAACATGACTGATGATTTAGTGCTCCATTCACTCTGACACCTGTTGCTCTCAATTATTTTCCCCGTTACCATCTTTTAATGACCATCTGATAACTAAAGGCCTCACTCACTCACTCAGCTCCGCGTGCCCCTCCCGGGGGCGTAGCACCTCTGCATACGGCCCTCCAGGTCTTCAGGTCTCTGGCTGCCACCCAGGCGGAGGTGATGTCCAGTCCTGCAGCCTGTAGGTCGGCAGACAGCAGGTTCGTCCATGTGCGCCTCGGTCTCCCTCTAGGGCGGGACCAGGTCGAAGGAGGTGGTTTATTAAAAATAAAGTTGAAAACCACATCAAATATGTTACAGTTGTTGACAAAAAACAATGAGGGGTTACCCCTGAGAATGGTTGAACATAAAGTGTTGTCGGTGACGTTGTTTGTGTCAAATGGCAGAATGTTAGTTAGAGATGTCAATGCGTTCGTCAGTGTACAGTGGGCAGTGTAGGAAGTAGTGTACAGCTAGTTCATAGAAATACAGGCGAGGTTGTGCGGAGGGATAGCAACCCCCACGTCAAACACCCTTGCTACGAATCCTTGCATCTGATAAGGCCACAGCAAGTAATTTTTATGGATGACATCCGCGCGCGCATTAGTTATCGCCTGATTTTGAAAAAAAAAACACAACAAATTTTGATGCTTTCTGACAGTGGTCAACATGTCGAAAATGGGCAAAGACGTCTGTTGCCATGCCGGAAGGTGGATGGCAGATAACTATGAAGAGAGGAGACAAGAAAACGCTCTGACTTAATGTTTTGTTTCTTACTTTGATGCAGTGGTATGGGATGCTTGCGGTGTATATGTGAGGTTCCCACTGAATCAAAACCATTTGTACAATGATTGAGTCAAAATTTTAAAATGTAGGAACCTTGTTTTTTTCGACCCGCTTTGTTTTTTTTCGCCCGCTCGCATTAGATTTGGAGTCTGCGGAAGATGTCATCCATAAAATTTACTTGCTGTGGCCTAATCTCGGTGAGAGACTATGTGTGTTTGTATATGTGTGTGCTTGTATGTGTGCCACGGTGTGTGTGTGTGTGTCACGGCGTGTGTGCCACGGTGTGTGTGTGTGTGTGTGCATGCGTGTAAAAATGTGTGTGTGTAACACTCTGTGTGTGTATGTGTGTGTGCGTGTGACACTGCGCGCGCGCGCGCGCGCGCGTGTGTGTGTGTGTGTGTGTGTGACACTGCGTGTTTGTGTATGTGTGTGTGTGTGACACTGCGTGTGTGTGTGTGACACTGCGTGTGTGTGTGTGACACTGCGT